GGTTATGAGGGGAGAGAGTATGAATGCCAACTTGGATATCCCATTTCATCCGTGTGAACTTTGTACAAGTGACTTCTCGCTTTTCAGGAGGTCATGGAGAGCTTCACAGGAGGAAAGGCCTAAGTCTTGACCTTCGAGAAGGAGCAGGAACTGATCAAACATGACCTGGGGATACATGGACAGGCTCTGTGAACAACACATGCAGTGGGTTGAGGAGCCCAGTGCTCTAGTATTCCTGACTTCAGAAAAAAAGAAAGCAACTTTATATTTGTCCCTCTGCCTTCTCACCTATGAAAACTTCTGACCTACCTGTATGAAGAGAATCTGTGACTGTCGTAGGAGCTCATGTTTAAGAAAGTATCTTTAGATCTTCAGAGGACTGAATTTTTAAGTTCTATTGTGCTTTATGTATATCAAGTCCCTGAGTCTTCATGATGATTCTATAAAATTGAAGCAGTTAGAATCCTGTCATCTGAATCTTATAGGAACCCAAGCCTCTTGCCCAAGGTCACACAACTAGAATCTAGGAGCAAATCTTGGCAGTCTCCTGATATTGCAGCTAAATTTAAAAGTAGAATGTTGACATGTACCAGGACCTAGAAGGAGATGTCAGGGGTGTGGCTCAGGTCTAGCCATAGTCCTTTTCCCTTCAAGATTTTTTATTTGTTGATTCATTCACTCCCTCGTGAACTTATTGATTCAATTATCCTCTATTCTCCCTGTATTATACAACAGATCTCCAGCATAGCATACATTAGATAGATGAAACCTCAACAACTCAATGTTGATTCTACTTAGCTTCACTAATCAGCAAGGAAATGGAGGCATGAAAAGTTCAGGTAACTTTCTCAAGTTCGGAGAGCCAAGCAATTTGGGCCATGACTAGAATCCGGGACTCCCATTTGTCGCTGAGACCACGGCTTGCCCAGAGTCCAGCCCAAGGCTGGACGCCTCTGAACGCACACAGCATGGCTGACCGCTTATATCTTTGTTCCGCTGCTCCTGGAGGGTTTCACACCCCTGGTTCTCCCCGGGTCACTGCAGCAGGTGTTCCCCGGGCTCAAGACTCCACTCCCATCACTGCACATGGTTGGTTCCAAGTTGTTCAGTAGTGTCGGACTCTTTGCGACCTCAAGGACTGAGGCGTGACAGGCTTCTCCTGTCCTCCAATTTCTCCTAGAGTTTGCTCAAATTCATGTCCTTTGAGTCAATGATGCCATCCAACCATCTCATCCTCCTCTGCCCATTGTTGGTTCCTTGAGTAAAAGCCAAATTCAGCCTATCACACAAGTCCCTCCCAGTTCCCTGGCCCTTAGCTGTCTGCCTAGACCCTCGTGATCCCACTCATGGAAGGACTTCTCCAAATATTTCCCCGCTCTCGTCTGCAGAGATGCTTAGGATCAAGTTTCGCTTTAACCCACTTGAGTTGCTTTCTCTGGTTTTTCTGTGCAACGTCCATGAGCTCAGTTTACTCCTCTATGGAGAGGAGACGTGAAAGCAGCAGCCCACTGTCTGGCTTAAGTAAGGAGCCTGGTGTGTTGTATGGCCCGTTGTAAGCACCCAACTTACATTCAGTTTGGTGGATGCCCTTGATGTCTTTTGCCCTGCCAGGCACTGCCCTCTCTGCCTGGTGCATGTTCCCATTCTTCTCCTCCCCACAACCCACATCATTGGCAAGCCATCTTCATCTTAAATGCCCAGCTTGCATTTTTAAGGAGCATTCTCTGGGGGAGGGGTGCAACGTGGATGGGTGGCCCCATCTGGGTTCATGAAGGACCGAATGCTTCCTTCAGCAAAGCACAGATCACCCTGCACTATGGCTGTTGCTCATTGTCACAGTCCATCCTTGACCTGTGAGCCCCATGTCCTCATATCTCTGCACCCACATGCCCCACTATGCAGCTCTTTGCTTGGTGCACAACAGGGGATAAAGATGTGTGTGTTGGATGAATGAACCAGGGGTGAACACAAGGTTCGTGTCTCTCACACTTTCAAGGGATGGAAGAGCCATGGAATTACTGATACCCCCGGATCCTTCTTCCAAATTAATTAAAACTTGATTATCTTGGGGACTGGAAATAGATCATATCTCCATTTGGAATGAATAAGACAAGCAGATCATTAGAATAATGACTAAGGAAATACAATCTCTGGCATTTAAAGGGCATTGTCAGAATCCAGGCCCCAAGTCAGTGAGTCCTGCAAGTGACATTTCAAGTTGGGAGAGTCAGAGCATCGTGAAACTAAATGAGGCCTTGGCGGTGACCTCATCTGACCAGCTCATCCTATACATGGGAGACTGAGGGTGAGGGGAAGGGAAACTTGGCTAAAGAGATCTGAAAAGGAGCCTTGCCCAGGGCTGGTTGGCTAGCTCTCGTGTAAATGACAGCGTTCTAGGATGTTCATAGCAACCTGTGCTCCAACCACGCTAAGCTTCTATCCACAGCACACGTCTGACATCATCTGAGCCATGAACCTTCTGACACTTGGATCTGAGTTATTCTCCTGCCAGAGAAGCACTCTTCCCCTTTATCAAGGCACAGAAAATTGCATAATGTCACAAAGGGCTGTTCAGAGAACTAAAGGTGGTCCATACAACCCCACCTGGAGTGAACAACAGGAAGTGTGTCTGTTCCATTTGATGATTTTAATGTGTAATAAATTGTAACCATGAGTAGGACAGCTTTCCTGAGTTCTATGAATGCTTCTAGTGAACCATTGAACATGAGCATGGTTTGGGGGGACCCAGACACAGCCCCCTATTCTGTTTATCAACATATCATATACCTGTGAGAGGAGCCCCATCAAGATGGAAAGCACATGGTCTTCACCAGGAGCACTGATTGTCATGAGCTTTAAACGTATAAGAGAACCACACTTCGTAGCATCACACAAGAGTCATGATTTTGTAGGTTTCCATTTGGACCGGGCTCACCCAGCCCACTGTGTTCTTCTTAGCTGGGCTCATGTGGTCAAGTGCCAACCAGCTAATGACTCTGCTTCAGGGGTCAGCTGGATGCCAGATAAGGGCAGTGGGGGAGATTGGATGGGGTGGCCCTCTTCATCCACTAGGTGAACCATGCAGTAGGTTCCCAGACGCTCCAAGACAGAGCCCTGGTGGACAAGCACCCTTGAGTCTCTGCTTGTTTCATGTTTGCTAACCTCCCAGTGACCAAAGCTAGTGCCACGGCCAACCCAGACTCAAGAGGCAGAGAAACACTCTGTGCATCAAAACATGGCCAGGCATGGATACAGGCAGGGGAAGAATTTGCAGCCCTCTTTATAATCTCCCACACTGAGACACGAGTGTGCTCCCAGGAGCCTGGCATCACAGACAAAAAAGTGACAGACCACAGGCTCTGAGCTAGGTGACTGAAAGCCAGCAGACTCCAGTATACTCTTTCTGGCAGTCCTGTCTGGCACAAACTCTCTCCAGCAGCTGAGTCAATAAAAGCAATAAAACAAATACCCTACCACTCACCACACATCAGCAAACCACAGTTTATTGTTTGGTCTAAAAAACAAACAGGGACAATCGTTCCAATGCCATCAAACCCTATTGGAAGTGCCTTACACTCATTGTACAAAATCCCTTCCAAATCCTCATGCATTGTGTCCTCAGGGTAATTTTATGAGTTCAGAGCTGTTCTCCTCTATTTTTAGATGAGGACATTGAGGCGTGGGGAAGCAATGGAAGTGCCCACCCGGACTCACATTCTAGGTCTGATTTCAACACCACTCTCTCGGCACACTGCTGGGCTGCCTTTAATTCAGCATCATAGGCAATGTTCCCTTTTTACAGATGAGGAGGTAGAGGCTCCCAGCAGTTGGTAACTAAAGGGCCATGATGCCCCTGAGTCATCACCTCTGTGTGTCACAGCCTTCATCACGCACTGATTACTTCCTGTGGGTGCTCGTCCACAGCAAAGGTATGGAGTTGGCAGGCAGCAGCAACATGCCCAGGGCTTTCTCTCAAGGAGTGCCAAGTCATTAAAAATACATCTTGGCAGGTTTGTGCTCTTTTGTTCATTTGCATTTAGGTAGCATATAAGGATGCATAGATCTGGGCAAGAAAACTTTCCTTTAAGTAGGTGATTCAGAATATGTGCAAACAAGGGGAATGATACCACAGTCAGGAGAGGAAAAAAAAGAAAGAGACAAGTACAGCTAGCTGGTTTGCGTGCATAACTGCAATGCTCAGGACCGTGACCTCTCCCTAGGACAGGACAGGAAGAGGAATATTCCAGTGTCAGTCTCTGCCTGGAAGGGTGTAGCAGAGGGGCTGGTGTTGGGGAGCTGATGGTGGACCTGTTCACATGGGCATATTCTTCTCTCGTGTTAACTTGTTGGGGAAGCTCCTCTTGCTCCTGAATTTCAGCCTCTGCCCCAGACAGGGATGCATCCTGCTCTTGGTCATGTGACTTGCTAAGACTGCCCACTGACCGGGGAAGAGTCTTGCCCTGATCTGGACTTTGGGACACAGAGGATTTTGGATGTTAACCCACTTCAACCTCAAACATTGAAAGCTGCCCATTCTCTTTGCTTCCTTTGCTCCGCTGGTGCTCCTGCCACAGGGAGCAGATGCAGCCGTGGGTGGCGCCTGGTCCCAGGAAAACTGAGACTCTGGAGCCAAGCTGAACTTGACCCCAGCCCTGTGAATGAAAGATACAAATGTCTGATGCTCGAAGCCACTGAGGTTTGGAGGTGTTTAGTGTGTGTGTGTGTGTGTCTGTGCTCAGTCGTGTTTGGTTCTCTCTGACCCCACGGACTGGAGCCTGCCCGCTTCCTCTGTCCGTGGGATTCTCCAGACAAGAACACTGGAGTGGGTAGTCATTTCCTTCTCCAAGGGATCTTCCCCATCCAGGGATTGAACCCCCATCTCCTGCATTGGCAGGCAGATTCTTTACCACTGAGCCACCAGGGAAGACTCGATATTGAGGTGGGGTCCCCTAAAATGTACCTATTGTGGCACTCACTGTATGCGGCACTTTACACAATCCATGTCATCCACCCTCCTACGCTCCGGAAGAGTGGATGTTCGTAAGTTGTGTAATCAGAGCAGCCTGGTGCGGGGCGTCCCCCCTTCCCCCACCACCTGCTCTGAACCAAGTGCAGAACCAAGCGAGATGAGCAGGGCTGAAGGCACGGCCAGGAGCTCGAGCGGCCAGAGCCCCGTGAGGGAGGAGGAACGTGACCAGGCTGGTTGGTGGGTCAGCTGGCTTGATCTGCGGGTACAAGCCAATGACGGACTCCCCTGTAAATGGGAACTAATTATACCACACCACTCTGGGGGTAGTTGTGAAGATTAATCCCAATAACACTGTCAAGTACTGATACACAGGGGCAGTCAACCAGGGAAGATGTTAGTATGATTTCTGTTCGTGTTATTAGCTCCATCACCAGAGCAAGGAGGAGTTGGTGAAAGACTGTCGGTCTACCTGCACCCACCTTCCCCCTGCCCTTACCTCTGAGCTGTTCCCTGTTAACGAACCCACTCCCTCCTGGGCACAGTCCTACATCACACAGAGTCCGCGGTGATACAGTGAACTGGAATGGTGCCATTAAAACCTGTCAGCTCCCAGCGTCCCCTGATACACAAAAGCAGAGCATACAGATGAAATCTTTCCTAAGTCAGAATGCTGTAAAGCAAAGAAGTGATTGCTTCAGGACACGTCTTGCTAATGGATACACAAAATAAATCAAGATAAAGCACAGAATCAGTTCAAAGCTTACCGCAGGTGGATGCTGAGATGTGAGACGGTTCCCGGGGAAGAAAGGAGATTTGTTGGGGTTATTCTCACTGCATTGTATGCTCAGGGCCTCCATAACAGCTCAGCTCCCTGCCAAACAAACACTGGACGTGATTTTCACTTTTCGCTATTTTTGTAAAAGTGAAAATCCTCTTCTATTTTCAAAAAAGGTACTACTGTAGGCTTTTTGTAAAAGTGAAGTGGTATAAAAAAAACTTGCCAAAAGCAGGAGGTAAACAGGGAGATAGAAATTAATATATATACACTGTGTGCATGCTTAGTCACTCAGTTGTGTCAGACTCTTTGCCACCCCATGGACGGTAGCCTGCCAGGATTCTCCAGGCCAGAATACTGGAGTGGGTTGCCATTTTCTCCTCCAAGGGATCTTCCCGACCCAGGGATTGAACCCACGTCTTCTCCATTGGCAGGTGGATTCTTTACTTCCTGAGCCACCAGGGAAGCCCTAACATATATAGCCTACTATGTACAGAATAAATAACTGATAAGAACCCACTGTATAGCACACAGAATGCTACTTAGTACGCTATGGTAGCCTCAATGGGAAGGAAATCCAAAACAGATGGGTTCTATGTACACATATAACTGATTCACTTTGCAGTTCAGCAGAAATTAATACCACACTGCAAAGCAACTCTATTCCAATAAAAATTTGTTAAAATGCAGGGGATACCTGTGTGAAGCCCTCCTCAAGACCCTCCTGTGTCAGCAGCCCCCGGATGCTCTCTGGAGTAACCTAAAGAATAATTAAGCAGCTCTTTGGGGACCACTTGTGGCACTTTTCACAAGCACAGGGAAGAACCGAAGTCTCTTTAGCTTGAGTTGACGCCCTGACCTTGAGGGAGGCTGCATACAGGGTACACATGCACATGCACCCCTGCTCACAGCATCCTAGAAGAGCAAAGAAGAAAACAGAAGAGCCTCTCCCCACAGGCAACGTGGATGAGCGGGGGTCATCAAGAGATCTGCTGGCCCCAGAGTGGACCCATCTGAGTTCAGGCTGCTGAGAAAGAATGTCACAGGCTGGGTGGCTTAAGCAGCAGACATTGACTTGTCACAGTTCTGGAGGCTTAGGGGCCCATCAGCAGTACGCCAGCACCATCCAGTTCTGGGGCGGTGAGGGCCCCCTATTTATAGATGGCCACCTTCTCACTGTGTCCCCACATGGTGGAGAGAGAGGGCTGGTTCTCTTCCTCCTCAAATGAGGGCACTAATTCCATCATGGGGGCCCCACTCACAGCTCCCATGCCCTAGTCACCCCCCTCCAGAGGTCCTACCTCCAATACCATCACTGGGGGGTTAGTCTCAGCATACAAATTTGGGGGGACACAGCATGTGGTGCTTACCACCTTAGCAGAACCTCGTTTCTCATCCTCTAGGACAGAAGTTGAAAGCTGCAAGCCTAAAGATCAAATTAGCCTCCCAGATTATATCTCATTTGTCCTGGGCATGTAAAGTTGAACTGATTTAGTGGCTGATACTTAATGGTGATAATATTTCTCAGAAGGATCCAGATGTCAAGCTCATCTTCAGAAACAAGACTCTCTGGGAACACTGGGCCAGCATGGGCTGGAACCACAACCCTCTAGAAGGGACACGTGACCCCCCATTTCCACAGCCCCTCCCTCCCAACCCAAGTGTCGTTTGATATCTGACACCCATATCCAGGGCCACTCCTCTCAGAACTGTAACCCTATTAACCTCTTTATCATTTGAATGTGTTGTTCAGTTGCTCAGTTGTGGCCGACTCATTGAGACCCCAGGACTGCAGTACATCAGCCTTTCCTGTCCTTCACCATCCACTGGAGCTTGCTCAAACTCATGTCCATTGAGTTGGCAATGCCCTTGAAGACAACCCTGCCTTGTAACCCAGCAGGACCCTATGAGGCCTTCTCAGAATAGACCCCAACCCATGTTCTCCACCTGCTTTTTTCTGTAGAAAAGTTTAGTCAAAGAATGATTTTAATCAGAGAAGTGAGAAAACGCAGAAAGAAAGATAAACAGTCGAGCAAGACAAAATATTGAAAGAACTGACGCTGAAGTTGAAGTTCCAATTATTGGCCACCTAATAAAAAGAATTGCCTTATGGGAAAGACCCTGATGCTGGGAAAGATTGAAGACAGGAGGAGGAGGGGATGACAGAAGATGAGATGGTTGGATGGCATCACTGGCTTGATGGATGAGTTTGAGCAAGCTCTGGGAGTTGGTGATGGACAGGGAAGCTTGGCGTGCTGCAGTCCATGGGGTCACAAAGAGTTGGACTGACTGAGCGACTGAACTAAACTGAACTGAAGACAAAATAAGAAAGCTTTCACCATTAAAGAAAATCAAGAACCTTTAGTTCTTCCTCAAGACAATATTTATCAATATTCTCAATTTATCAATATCAATATTTATCAATATGAATATTCCTCAAGACAATATTCTGAGCCATGTCCTTTGAGCTGTTTTGCAGATGCTGAAACTCACACCTGGTGGAAGAGGTTAACTGCCTGCTGCCCATAAGCACATAAGATCCTAGACAAGTTGGAACCAGAAGGTTATTGGTGCTGACTCCCGCTCTCACCACGAACCCATCAGAAGACTGTCCATGAGCTGACCATGCCCTGCTCCTTGAACCTTTACTGTAAAACTCCTCATTACCCCTTCCAAGGTGGGACATAGTTTTGAGAGCATTAACCTGCTGTGGTCCCCTTTGTCCCCTTGACAAAGCAATAAAGCTATTGATCTCTGGATTGGGAAGATGCCCTGGAGAAGGAAGGGGCAACACACTCCCATATTCTTGCCTGAAAAATCCCATGGACAGAAGAGACTGACGGGCTACAGTCCATGGGGTCTCGAAGAGTTGGGACACGGCTGAGCAACTGAGCCTATCTAATTCAGGGCATAACTGATTTGACAGCCATTTCCCAAGTAAGTCCAAGTCCTTGTTTCTCCTCTTTTGTGGACAGAGATTCCTCTGAAATAAATCTGATTCCTGAGGGAGATCCAGAGCAATAAATGTGGTCCTTAGACAGGAGTGTCCGCTCAGCCAAAATTCAGAGCAGGTTTGGGACTCCTTTTCATTTCAGAAGGTTAAAAAATGGTTCTTCTTTATTCCTCCTTTGAACCACTGGGGAAGAATTTGGAAAATTTATACACACAGACAATAAGCTTGCTATCAAAAGGGGACTGGTGCTCCCAGCTGTGAAGAACAATTGGCCAATTCTCCATTCCTGGGCTCTGCTTATCCTTTCATTGTGATGCATAATCACTGTTTCCTTAAGAAGGTCTGTGATTCTTAATCAGAGTCAACTTTGCAAATCTTGCATTTTCCTGGAGAGAACAAGCAAGCAGTTGCCTTTACCTGGAAGCAGATTTTTACCCCAATCTTGCTTCTTGCAAAAAGTACAGAAGTTCAAATGAAGGTGTTGAAGCATAACCAGAGAATCTCAGAGCGTGGGATGGACAAGGACTTCTATCCCTTCTCTCTGGAGCCTCGTCCTCAGCAGCCCAGCCCGTTAGGTTGCTTCCATGTGCTGCACGCATGTCTCTGATGCCAAAATTCAGCCTCTGTACACCGGTACAGAGAAATCCACCAGGCTCCTCTGTCCAGGATTCTCCAGGCAAGAATAGTAAAGTGGGATGTCATTCCTACTGCAGGGGATCTTCCCGACCCAGGAACCGAACCCAAGTCTCATGTGTCTCCTGCATTGGCAGGTAGATTCTTTACCACTGTGCCACCTGAGAATTATATTTTATTTTGCAGACATACTGAGGGCTTAAGACCAGAAGGCCGATAGCTTGGAGGGTCTGTTCTGAAGGGGTATGGGAGGAGCCAGGATATAGAGGAGGATTTGCAACAAAAACCAGGTTGTAGGAATATCAAAAGAATACTGTTAGAGAAGAAACAAGTATCTCAAGTTAATGAATTTTAGCCCTTTTCTGTGTACGGGAAGGTGCAAGAGTCTGGGCTCATGAAAATTATTCCTTTGATATGCACTTTTATCTGGGGCCAGTATCCTGTTCTTTTCCATCCTGAATCCATTCAGGGTGCACCATTGGGGACACTGAAGTGGCTGATGGACTGATAACTGCAACATGCTTTGTTTGCTGATATGGCAAACACAATAATCATCAACACCGCTATCATTTCCTATGCTGCTGCTGCTGCTGCTAAGTCACTTCAGTCGTGTCTGACTCTATGACCCCATAGACGGCAGCCCACCAGGCTCCCCCGTCCCTGGGATTCTCCAGGCAAGAATACTGGAGTGGGTTGCCATTTCCTTCTCCAATGCATGAAAGTGATAAATGAAAGTGAAGTCGCTCAGTCGTGTCCGACTCTTAGTGACCCCGTGGACTGCAGCCTACCAGGCTCCTCTATCCATGGGATTTTCCAGGCAAGAGTACTGGAGTGGGGTGCCATTGCCTTCTCCGATCGTTTCCTATAGATGGTAATAAACAAGCCTGGATCCCTCTATATCTTCTCCTACCATTTGGCATGAAAAGTGAAAGTGAAAGTCACTCAGTTGTGTCCAACTCTTTGCGACCCCATGGACTAT